TTGTGACATCAACCAGATATTTAGCTATTTTTCTGTAATCAAGTTTCGTGTTCTAGTATCTTTTTATTTTTCATCAAAATTACAATATATTTTAATGATTTAACTATTTTCACGAAATTCTTATTTCCATTTACTTGTTACTAATTACATATACACACGAACACCCAATTGCAACTGTTCTACTTCAAACCCCAATTATTATAAGTGGATCTCGATCTCACTATTTGAAAAATTTAGGACTTTTGCCACAATTTTTGATTTATATTTATATTATTTATTTCTTTTCTATTTGTTTATTTAAAGAGGATGGTATTTTACAATGCTTTATTGGAGAAAATAGATTATAATACCTTTTACACAATAAAGGCAAACGATAAGAACGTTTCACACAATGAAAATAAACAATAACGACGTTTTACACTAATTATCCATGTTTGACAGAAGGAGATGAAAATTACCAATTTTGTAAGAAATGATTGAAATAAAGGTGCAATTACCAAATTTGCAAAGATAAAGACGATTTGTGCAATGAGTACAAACTATGTGAATGTGTTGTACTAATTACTTTTGTTTGGGAGAATAAATTTTGTAATAGTGATTTTTTTTAAGAATGTTTGGTTAAAAAGTAAGCATTATCCTACTTCTTAAAAAGAGTATGAGTTGTGCAGGCTCGATGTGTGGCAAATTCCGAGCCAGATTCAACCCTAGTCCATGCGCTTATGGGCTTGGGATGTCGTGAGTTGAGACCAGACAAATTGGTCCGAGAGGTTCAGAATCAATGTCGAATCCAAACGAGCCGAGTCAAATGGCTAAACCAGCGGGCAAACTTATTGCCACCTCTAAGTCACTGACATCCAATCCTTTGAAACAATTTAAAAAAGAAATGAAATTCTTCACAGCTTCCACCTATCGCAGACACCGTCCTCTCCGCCATCGACAATGTCCATGACCACTAAAGATGAATAGAAGATGATTGAAACAGAATTTAGCCTATCAGCCGATTCACTTAAAAAAAGTCACGACAACTATCATTATAAGCCCCTGTTTGATCCCCATTACGTAGAAAAATTAATGGAGGGAATAATATTTTTTTGAAAAATGAGTGGTTGAAAAAGAATGAAAAGTTTTCGATCTACGTGTAATATTATTTTATGAAAGATTGTGTGATTAAAAATAAGAGAGAAAAATAAAATGTAATAGAATTCAATGTAATGGGGCTCAATCAGGAGCTAAATTACTAGATGGCATTATAGAGGACAATTTTGTTACTTTAGGCGGTAATTAAGCTTACTGACAGACCTGGTTTGTCAAGTTGTCAAGGCCATCTCTTTCACAAGAAGAGTGGTGCTAATCCAATAACAAGTAAAATGTTGGCTTTAAAAAAGATTAAAGGGTCAATAGTTAATGATTAAACTTAGAAATAAATAAAAGGACAATTTTGTCGTGAACAAGTCTATTTTGAGTTAGAAATGACAAGTTCTTGAGTGATTTTAATGAATTTCAAATTAGCAGTATCTTATCTACACCCATATCAATTTTTTTTTTTTTAATTTTATTTTTATTGAACCAACCGGTTTAATCCGATTTTGATAGTACTTATAATTGGTGAATATTATGTATAAACATGTTTTAGCCCAGTATTAATACAACGGGAGCTTTTTGCTGTCATGGTTTGTCAGAACATTGTATTAAGAATAATAACCTTATTCGACTGCAATTTCTATTGAGGGGGAAAAAAAAATTAGATTAAGAATGAAGTATACTCTACGTTACTGATTTTCAATGTAACATATCATATGCGTTGTAAATGTTGGAATTTGGTTTAAAGAGAAAAAAATTTTGGTTAAGTATGAAATCATGAAAATTTTGAAAAGACATTTTGAGCAAATATTCGAACTTGAGATGATAGTCAAATTATGAAAATAAATAGTTCAGCTTGATCTTCTCGTTGAATAGATAATCATGGTATATTTGGAATCTCAAAATCAATTCCGAATTAATGAGAAATTGTGGTCCAAAGTTGTAGGAAAAATCAAAATTTCAACACCTAAGACAGTCACTCGAGCGACATCCAAAGCCAGGTGAGGAACAAATTCTCTGCTTTGGGAGCTCAAGCGGTGCACGAGCAACATGCAAGTGACAGCAAAAGTTGTAACCCTTGGCAAAGATTGCTGAGTTTTTGGATGTGGCTCTCCATTTGCAACCCCTTATCTTTTATAAATAAGACTCATTAGACATCCTTTACTTCATCCTGACCATCTACAATCGTAGCATAACATAAAAATTGAAAAATAAAACCTAAATTTTGTATAAAAATCGATATTTCATTTCATTCGAAAAGAGTACAAAAGCTATTATTTTGGTTTTGTGCTTTGGAATGCTACAATCACAAGAAGGTAGTCGTTGTATTTTGGGAGTTGATTTCCATCATCCATAAGCACCGTTGATGGACAAAATTCACTTAATGACAAAGAGTTCAACTCTTGTCTTAACTGTGCACACACTTTCTTGGTGTTACTTTGTTCTAATTCGTTGGTGTTTTAACTTTCATTTCTTTGATGTTTATCACTCAATTCTTTGCTGCTACTCTGTCCAATTTCGGCTAGATTGTTAAGTTTAAATGGTTAAAGAAATCATTCAAATCCGTTTAACAAACAATAGTAAACAATTAAATTTTGCAGCCACGCAACCCCATCCACCTAACTGTATGACATTTGACTCGACAGTTTAGTCATCACTTGGCCCAAGTGACCAGACCCTGCCATCTCCATTGATAAGTTCCAAATTTTTGACTTTCAAATAAGGCCCTTTCGTCCTTTTGAACTTTCAACATTGGCTTTATTCTTTATTTATTTATTTTTATTTATTTTTCTAAAAAAAATCCTTTTTAGATATTATGAGATACTAGATATTTTTAAAATAATGGTGATATATTTGGTATGCTTTATGTACAGAATGAAATTACTGAAAAAGATTCTCTAATACTTTACATTATTATACATTAAACATGTCACGAGTTTATTGGACATATTTAGGTGATACGTAAAATAATTTTTATTATGACAACATTATTATTCTTTTTGTGTAAATACCAATATGCAGAAGTCTTGCGATATTTTCTATAATTAAAATTACTTCATATAACTCTCTTTTTACTTATAAATTCAATTTGGAAATACATATTTTTTTTCATAACCACATTTTTACATAAGAGTTGTAACAAAATAAAGAGAAGTAGATACGGGTCGGGTCACATGAACATGCGTCCATAGGAGGTACAAGTCGTAGAGAAATGGACCCTTGGTGCCACCAAGTTGGTGGGCCTAAAATCACATGACAGGAGAAGATATACGAAATCGAAGCTCCAAATTTAGTTTTGTTTGTACTTTGATGAAAAGGAAACTCCCTTTATACTCGTCGAATAAATTAGGGATGGCAATAAAACTCGCTCCGAATGGCACAAAAAAAAATCCGCTCCGAATAGGTTGGTGAGGCCGAACCCGCCCCGTGAAGGGAAAAAAAAGATTAAAAATAATTTTATTTCTAAACGATTCACCCATTAAAACTCAATTTTGAATTTGTATTTTATTCTCTAATAATAACATAATTCGAAACTATAAAAATGTAAAAAAAATAAAAAATGAAAAAAAATTACACGGGGCAAAAAGTTGCTCCGAACCCACCCTGTTGCCATCACTAGAATAAATATGGTGAATATTCCTTCGTCGTCTTGTTATAATTCACATAGTGAAAAATATCTATTTTCTAATCTTTTATACTATAGGCCTTAATTTGAATTATCCTTTAAAAGAATTCATCAATATTGATTCAAACAAGTCAAAATTATGTTATCTACTAAACGCTTAACAAGAACAAGTAAAGTCATATTTTAAGACAAGAATATCAATGGAAGAAAAAAATGAGTGACAAACTCTAATCGACTTCTATTCGTGCTATGTCTTGGACTTTAGAACGGTAAAATTCACGAGACATCATGTTCAATTCAATTAGATGAGAATTATTCTATATTTAGCTCTTGTTTGAGTTCCATTTTGTTGTGAAAATACGGTTTGTAATAGTGATTTTTAAAAAAAGTGCTAAAAATTAAGTAAAATTTTGGATTTGTGTGCGAAATTACATTATTGGGAGAGTACGTGTTGAAAATGAGTTTGAGAAAAAATGAATTTTTAAAAAATAATGCTCAAATGAATTTGATGCATAATAATGGATAGCATTTAACAATATGTGAACAAAAGTTATTTATTTATTTTTTTCATATTTATCAGATTCAACTTTATAAAACATGGAAGAATAGGAGAGTATCATTCAACATTCAATAATACAATAATTGGACATAATTAAGAGTCTTTCCTTAAACAACAAATTTCTCTCAGGATGTAGGAAAACAACTGTGAGAAAAAGACTTCAATTTTTTTTTTTTTACAAATTTAGCCCAGAAAATATTCATGGGTTTTCTTGGGTTTGGGGACTTTAAGTCACTATAAAAATACAAACACCCAAATGGTTAGAAAATAATGAGAATTTTCCAAAAAATAAAAAAAAATATAGATCAAACTTCCATGAAGAAAGAAGTTAAAAAAAGAGAAGCAGCCAACAATTCTTCAGCTTCATCTGGATCATCTTTCTCCAAACAACAACAAATGTGCATTCCGAATCATGTCATACGATTTGACAAAGTTTTGGCGCTGATTGATCGTCAACCTATCACAACCCGGGTTATATATCTGGGGCTTGAGATCGACTATGAAAAATATTGCCTGAATTATCTGATCATCGACGTTAGGGATCGAAACACGGCTTCTTCACAAGGGATAGTGAGTCCCATATCATGATCAAATCCAAATTCATCTTCTGCACGTTGAAGAAGACACTGAAACTCAGGATGAGTCAAAAATGAAATAGGAACAATATATCTGCTTCTATATTCTCCAACATAGACAGCAAAATGACCTTTAGGGACATCAAGTGGAAGTTCATTTTCGTCATATCCATTTTTCTTGCCTAAACTTGAACATCGTTTGAGGATTTGCTTCAAAACTGCTGCTTGTGGGAGTTTGTTAGGTTTTCTAATAGCCATTTTTTGAGTTTAAGGGCAAGAAATGGATAAATGAGTTTGAATGGAAAGGGAATGGAGGTGGAGATGAGGATTGAGTGGTGTGAAGGGGTATTTATAAAAGTTTTAGGGGAAAATTGCATTATCGGTCCTTAGTGTATTGTATTGGTTGTAAATTGATCCTCAGCATTTTACTATTGTTGCATAATCAATTCTAATTGGCAAAAACTATCGAAATCTTCGTTCAACTATGAATTAGACTTCATAAAAAAAACGTCGTTGTTCAAATTTTTGAGCAACCAAGTTGTAAACAAAACCTAAATTCATAAAAGAAGATATAAGATGACAACGTAACAATTTAATTTTTATATGAATAGTTTTCAAGACTAATTGTGTAACTACAGCGAAAGATAGATGATCAACTTGCTAAAAGAGAAGTTGGTTGGAGCAAGTGGTGCAATTTTCTAAGTTTTTAGAGAGGGGTTTTTTTGGGGTGGGGGTGGGGTGGGGTGGTTAGGTCAAAGGAGAGACCATAGGGGGTGTTTAATTTTTGCAAGGACAGTGTGGGACTCAGTGCATGTAGGCTGTACTAATGAATGTTGGCCCTCGAAATGACAATTTATGTGAATTGCCCTAATCAGCTCCTTTTCAATGTTTTTGATAACTTAAGTTTGCTGCTTGTCATGTTTTTCATCTAGCATATTCTAAGCCTTGAAATTTTAATTATAAGTCAGTAAGCAAGTTCTAAATAAACTCTTTTGAAATTTATATCAGTCTAAAATAGTCGAGTTTTTCATTTTTACATTAGGATAAATAATTATTTTCAATAAGCAACCTTTTTCACTTAAAAGTAAAAAAACATGTAACACATACATGAATGCCTATCTAAAACTCAACAATTAAGTAAATTTTAAATATTGTGTAAATACACGAAATTTTTATGTTAGTCCATTCAACAAGTAAGATTTTAATAACTTCAAGAAATCATGTTAATTCTAATCCACTTATCTTTATCCTAACTTATTATGTTAAGATCATATCGCTGCAAAAGAATTAACTTCTTCATTCCCAACCAAATATATTTTCATTTCTAGTCGAAATCAAAGAAAGTACAAAAATTTTTACCAACCGCGACGACATACCAAATTAGTTCTAGTTCCACATTGCTATCAAGAATCAAATTCCTTTATGCCTACAGAAAACTTACCCTAACTGTATAAGTCGTCATTTCATTAATTTATCATCATTAATTTGTTTTTTTTTTCCAGTCGAAGAATGTTTAGGCATATGTGTATCAACATTCAAGGACATAATCCTCCTTATGTTGTAGAGGAAGTAAATTTCCCTCCTCACCCCTAGCCTCAAACTTAGCTTTTATGAATTGAAATCAATTCAAATTTCCAACATTATGTTTTCAACTGCACTTGTTTCCATTTCCAACATTTGTCTCAATGCAAAAACTTTATCATTTTCTGGTCACCAAATCATCACTTTTTAAGTTTTAACAAAATTCAGGTAGACTTTTTACTAACAGGATTCACTTATGGTTAAAGTGCGGCTTCTCATCGACGTTCAAGTCAGAAAGCAAAAAGTATATATTGAATTGTGACCCAAATTTCATTTGGAATTGATGTTTTCGTTGAAAGGGCTTTGAAAAGGTCAAAACATGGATAAAGGAATTCTGGGGCAGAGATTGGGCGCTTGAGCACCAAATCCAGGCGCCTAAGTACCATTTGGGGTGAAGAAATGATTTTGGATAGAGATTCAGCCCCCGAGCGTCCAACTGAAGCCTTGCCCGTCTCCAGCATGGGTGCTAGAGTGCCACGTGCCGCTCGATTGCTAGTATCATTCGGCCCACAATTTGAATAATTTGAATATACTTTTTGTTAGGAATCTACTTAACATGCGCAACGGAAATTTAAAACATATTTCGATTCCCACCAAGAATTGCCTTTGTATTTAGATATAAATTGTGATAAAATTGTACCTTTTCCAGATTTGCAAATTTCTTTGCTATTCTTTTCGTTCTAGCAATCTTGATTCGCCGTCCACAACTGTCTAATTGTCCAGCTTCCAACGGTGATCCACACAGAGAATAAGATTGTAGCTACCAGGATTTTCTCCTCTCGTGCTAGCAAGAATAATTATGAGAAAAAACCATATGAATTGAAAACCCTAAACATTATTTATATAAGTCCAAACGGGTGTGGCCAGGTCCGGTCCAATATTTAATTAATCCATTTAATTAAATCTGGTCATGAATTAAATAATCCAATTAATCAATTCGGGCCTATAAACAACCAACCCAATTAATTAATTCATCCAACGATTGTTAAATTAATTAATTGATAAATTGTAATTTTCCAATTCTCTTTTGTGTGTGACCCATCAGGCTTCTGATCACGTGAAATATTATTTTGATCTCATCAAAATTGATAAATTAAATCAATTAAAATACCCTTTTAATTTATCACCAATTCACACTCGTCATCTCAAATTGACATCTAGCAATGTGTCGGGGCAATACATGTGACGGGGAATGTCATGTGGTATGACAAAATCAAACTCGTTCATTTACCTTGAAACTATAATCCCTTCGTCAATATGATCCGATCAATTACGAGATATGGAGGTGTATCAATCTCGATTATCGATCATATCTTTCACTTCACTATTAAGTCAATATAAGTCGAAAACTCCTTTTTGACTTATGAGTACTCCTTGGCCAAGGATTTCATCATCGACTTAATGGAATGAAACGCAGATCATAATCTCCTACAATCTAAGAGTGACGAATCCTTTACTGATTAATCACAACCTTCATACGATTCTTGACGTACTCGAACGATGTCATATTAGTGGTCCTTTGTAGAGCAGCATCCAACACTACTAAATTATGACTGTCCTCATATAAGGTACCATGACGACCTCAAGTCAAAAGATCAATTCCACCACCGAACATTAGAGATTAACCACCGACACTTAGATAGTTCTCCATGTGGAATCTCTCGACGGGTCTCCAATGTTTTGTTTTATAACAAAACATCCACCTGTTCATTTAAGTGTCACTACACTTTAGCTTATGAGATCAGCTGCTTACTTCACAAGTAAGAAATGTTACACGTGATGGTCTATCCGTAATAAAAATATCCATATCTCGTTATTACTTACGACCACGGACGATTTAAGATTCAATCATACATAATTTGTATCTCACAATCACAACACCTTGTGATTAACAAATTACGAAGATTTGAATTTACGGACTCTATTATTTATTTAATTGTCTATTAATTAAATAATAGATCTGCTTTTAAATTGCATTAATTATATATCAAAAGTATTTATGTCCAAAGTTGATTGGACTTAGGACATAATACTTACAAACTACCACTTGCACTAGATCCAATCACTTATGTATCCAATATCATAAGTCTACATGACGATCATGTTTATGCTACTACAACTCTTTGTCAGTGGATCTGCAATATTGTTAAATGAAATTTGTTCTTTTCTTTACGTCATTTCTATGTATTATCTCTCTGATGAGATTATACCGCCTTGATACATGTTTGGATCATTGATGAGACCTTAGTTCCTTCGCTTTCGCAATGGCTCTATTATTATCATAATACAATGGCATGTGATCAACAATATTAAGAACCACTCTAAGTTCATTTATGAACATCATGATCCAGATTGCAACTCTTTGCTACTTTTGAAATAATCATGTATTAGGTTTCTACTATTGAATCAACGGTTGTTTCACGTTTGGAACCTTTCCAACATACCGCTTAAGAGTAAACCAGTTTCTCCATATGAAATCTTCTCAAGATTTCATCTATGTAAATTGAGATGAGTTAGGCAATTTTCTAGATCTATCTCTATAGATCAAGTTGTTTCTCCCATATCGTTCATGAATAAATCTTTTAACAACCATTATTTCAACGATTGAAACATAGGAATGTCGTTTTCTATAATATTAGGAATACGACAATGCTCCCACAATCTTCTTGTAAACAATACAATTCGTCTTCAAATTTGATAAAATCAAACACTTTGACTTTTCCATCAAATCGAAGATTTCATCTCCAAGAGACTTTTCTTAACCTATAGTCACGGTATGCAACTGTTGCAAGCAAAACTTGAATGGACTTTAGCAAGGCTATAGGAGAAAGGTTTCACCAAGATTAACACTTAACCTTTGCTTCTAGCCTTGCTTTGTATTTATGGATATACTCATCCATATCGACATTTTCCTTGTAAACTATTTACAAAAACTTATGGGTTTTATTCCATCAGGAGGCTCAACCAAGGTCCAAACCTTGTTCACATACGTTGAGTTCATCTCGAGTTTTATAGTCTCTTACTGTCTCTTTTAAGTTAACACTTTGACTTTATTTTGTTGCAACTAGCAGGTTCATTATCCTGGACTAGTAATACCTGATTAGTAATCATGGATTCCCACCTTCTTGAAGGTCAAATGATCCTACTATATTCACATAGAACTGATATGTCCTCAGGAGTATTTACTTCCTGATCAAGAGTATGTCCCATATCAGATATAGGATCAAACTCGGATTCATCTACTTGGTTAACTATACCTGTGGACTCTTGAACTCTTTCAAGTTCTATTTTGCTCCCACTGTCCTTCCTTAGAGTAAACATTTTCTCTAAAAGGAAGATATGTTGTGAGACGAAGACTTTCTTCATGATAATAAAATTTATATTCAAATGTCTATTTTGAAAATCCCCACAGATACGTATTTATCAGATTTAATGTCAAACTTATCTGATTCAAGGCGCTTCAAATAGGCATCATGGCCCCAAACTTTCATATGAGATAAATTGAAACTACTGTCTTTCCATAACTCGTATGGATTTCTGTTAACCAACTTAGATGTGACATGATTTAGTGTGTTGTACACTGCAATCAATGTATGACCCTAAAACAATTTGGGAGATTTGTATGGCATGTTATTAATCACATTATATCTAATAATTAACGATTCTTCCTTTTAGATACACCCCTATGTTGCAGTGTATATGGAGGAGTCCACTGCAAGAGAATCTCATTCTCTCT